GGTTGATAGCCAATATATGGCCAATATCGAAGAAACAATACTACAACTATGAGCTTAACTTCACTCGGCCTATTACATTAATTGATCACACTAGAAAGATATTTACAAAAATTTTTACTAATAGGCTTACAAACATTTTAGTTTATAATTAGATGCTCTCCCCTTACAACTATACAGCCTTTCTTTTTTAGTCTACACTCCAACCAATTTTACAGCTCACTCACATTTTGGAAGATGCAACTACGAATGATAAAGAAATTTGGATTCTCTTACAGGATATGTTAAAAGCCTTTGACTCTATTCATATATCCACTTTATGCAAAGCTTTTACAAGGATACATATCTCAGAGAAGGCCATAAATCTACTATCATACCTGCTTCAAAATCGAAAGAACAAAGTGATTACAAGTCTAGAGTTAACTGCACTATATTTAGTAGAAGATGGTATAGATCAGAAGGAAACAATTTCTTCCTTATTTGAAAAATCTATTACAACCTACTAATATCTAAAATACACAAAGAGCACTAGGCTTCTGTAGTGAAATAGCTTCACCTTGAGCTAAAGAAATTCATGCCTCAGTAATGGTATATATGAACAACTCTTTATGGATTGCACTGAACAAAGAATCATTCACCAAAATCCTCAATACTGCTTTTTCATTCTACAGATTTGCCAGTATAAAGGTTAATCTACAAAAATCTATACTAGTAACAAACTCAATAGCTTTGGATAAAACTATAGCTTTTGACAATGAACAATTAATAGCAATTACAAATGGAACACCATTTAAATACCTAGGAGCATAGTTCTCAACAAATAGAAAGCCAATATTAGTATAAAAAGAAATTATAGCTGAAGCAGTAATTAACTTAAAGAAGCTACAATTCGCCCACATAATGAAAAAACAAGCAATCTATATAATCAATAGTATTATTACTCCTTGCTTTCTATACTGACTATACTCTTCTTTTCTATTAGCTGCATAAACAAATACTCTTAACAAGACCTGCATTCAACTAATCAAAAATAAAGCAAAATTAGCACAAGGAGTTTTTAATTCCTTTATATTCAACCCAGACATTTACATACTAAACAACTTAGCTTAAGCCCAGCTTTCATCATTGGCACTAACACCTCAAAAAAACTTAATCCACCCCAGCTTTGACTCATTCTTCCTAAAGCTATGGCTACAACAACTACAGAATGCAGCAAACACCAACACATCTATTCTTTTACAACTTCTGATCTTTTCAACCATACAAACCCATATACAAACTTGCCAAATGATACTGACACTACATGCACTTAGATTACAAACCTCATGCAATAGAGACAACTGGCCTCTTCTGAAAGAATTCACTAGTATCCTAATAAACCAGATCCTTTTGGGTCACCCTAGGGCTTCTTACTTCAAAGAGAAACTAAACAACTACAACATCTTCAGTGTCAAACAATTTTTAAATGCAACTAATACTGAACTTCTAGAGTGGAATAACTTTCATTACAATATCAAGAAAATATCTAGAGGCTGATGCCCATACTGGTTCCATACAATTCAAGACCTAATAGCAGATGCTACAAATTCTTCATCAATACCTTTACGATTAAACCCTTATATTTTAACTATAACAAAAAAAGCTAGATAATTACAAACAAACTAGTTATCAGAAGAATGCACAACTTGCTAAACCAAACATTTAAAACTCAATATTACACCTTACAATCAGATAATATACTAATTGCTTGTCAGAGCTATAGCCTCAAAAATTATTATTATCATTCTAAATACTGTTACTTTAACGCAACAAAGCCATTTTACAATTTTTAAATAGATTGCAAAAAAAGATACATATTGACCTAAATGATTTCAAAAAGGTATTAGCTCTCAGCTCTGTCTATACATCCTCATCTGACAATACAAGAACACTTTCAACTTTGACTAGGCCTCTTTGTGCCTTTACAAACTCTCTTATCCTGCTCTGGGATATACTTACAAAAACTAATTTTAAGGCAAAAACCTTGACACTAATTATGACAAATACTCGGCAGAGGATAGGAAACAATCAACACATTGTAGCAAAGTGCCACCTTCAATACAGCTATGCTTTATTTGGCTGCTACACCAACTCCTGGCCTTCATATGTACACACATTACTTACTTTGTTGAATTTCGTTCTTATGTCAACAAACTCACAAACTTCCATTATGATCTATACAAATAATCCCTCTTTTGTCAATCTAATCAATCTCATACACTCGGTTTAGTTATATAACTATTCTATATTAGATAAACAACAACATGTATATCTACTCTTAATACTAAGAACACTAATTTTTGATTAGGAAATTATAGCTATCTTTGACAAAGACACCAAAATCCAGAAACCCACAAACATTATTTTCTCACTAGACCCTGCATCACAGCAGTTTTTACACAACTATTTCATTCTAAGACTACTTAACAATCCTTGTACCTATCTACTAAAAAATACACTAAAACAAGTACACCAAATTAATAATCGACTTGTATGGTTTAACCAACAATGAATTATGAACTAGTATACATCACAAAGAAACATTAACTAGACGCAAACATTACAATATATCATCTATGGTAAAAAACTATTAGCTCTAAATACAGACCTATTTTCTTCAGCAATAAAAAATTTTAAGGTCAAATTGATTTCAGAAAAACTGCCTGTCTACCTTCTGCTTCACTGGAGAAACACAACAAAGTATCCTAATTATCGTTATCCAAGATGCTTCAATGGGCTTGAAGATATTATGCATCTGCTAATTTATATTCAGAATAATCTACACCTAACAACTCTAATCACACAAGTAGTACAAGAAACTTTATGGAAATTAAAGATACCTCATTTTGACCTGAATACCTTCATTCGAAATTTCATCAATCTTCATATCAACAAAAAAATACCCCTTGGGCTAATTACCAAAGAAACCTTAGCACTCTTTGAGAAAAACAAAGATTAATATAAATACACACCTCTTATTCATCATAATATTATTATCGCAATATATTAAAAAGTATGGCTCATATCTAAAGCAACAAAACATAATCCTATCTTCCCACTGCCTTCTCCACTACAACCTCCTGTATTACATAAAACCAAACCACTTACATCTACATTCATACATAACAAACTTAACCAATATATAATATATAGATAGTCCTTTCTTAATTTCCTTATCAAAGACTAGAGGTTTAACGATTATTCTAGCAAAGAATGGATCAAGAGTAAAGTAGCTCTTACCTCCATCTCCCATAGTATAGTTTTTTCTTTATATATTTTTATATGTATATTAACTATTAAATAAAAGAGATAGAAGATAAACCAGTGTTCGAAATTAGTGTTCTCAGAGTTCTCATAAGAACATGAATTTAAGTTTGTAAACAGTAAAAATTTTTTACTATTCACTATTAAAAATTTTTTGAAAACAGTAAAATAAAAATAATGTTCTCATAAGTAGTAAAGATATAATAGTTTTTTATATAGTATAATTATATAGGAAGAGGGAAGAGACTATATAGAGAGATGACTGTTGAAGTTATATTATTAAGTTGTCTTTTTTTTTTTTTTTTTAGTGAACATAAACTATAGTTTGGGAACACTTATAGCTATTTTTCTGTTCTCATAAGAACAGTCATTGAGTCTGAGATTTCGAACACTGGGATAGACCTCTCTTTAAAATATATATATATATATATATATCAAAAATAATTTTTTTTTTGAATATTAATAGTGAATCAAAAATAATTTTTAAAAACCTAACTTAAGCTAATATAAATATAAATAATCTCTAAAACCTACTTTGAAGTTTTATCTATATTTATAATTTTAAAAAATATATTATTTTGTTTTTGTTTTCTTTTTAAATAAATCTATAATTATTATAGAACAGGGTGTGGATACGAAAAGGGTGAAACTCGTGTTTTTTAGGATACTTTCTTGATGCAGATCTATTTTTAATTAGAGTTAGATGTCATTTAGCAGTGATGTGCATTAATAACGTAACCACCTCCGACGCGGGTTTCACCCTGTCGTATTATTATTATTTGCATTGTGGTTGACTACTTACATATTTGTTGTGATTCTTATTTGTTATATCACAATATATAATCGTTCTGATATAAAAAAGTAAATAATAAAAAATTTAAAATGCGAATAACAGTTGGTACTATAAACGCAAAATCCGATAAATAGGAATGCTGAATAACTATTAATTATTTGGTATTTCATGAGTTCTATTCGTTATATAAGGGTATTCTGACGCACCTAAGAGTGCTAATAGTAAAAGTTTTCAGAAAAAAAATATAATTCCCAAATTTTATTAAAATAAACTAATATTCGACCTAAAATCCATCGTCAAACTAATAAACTCCTTAAATTTTAAAAGATAATCCGAACTTTCAAAAACTATTTGAAAACTGTTATGTTTTGTGAGTTTGGGGGTATTTTGACGCACTATACATATCTCAGTGTTAATTATCTAAATTTAGCAAAATTCTATTTACACTAGCCCTTTTTGTACTTTCGATTTTGCTGACCTCTCCCCCTGAAATTGCTCAGATAGGAAAAAAGAGAAAATAACGTAAGAACTACGCAATAAGTCTAACCTTCCCTCAAATCTTGATCAGAATTGATTAATTTTTGTATCATTCGATGTCTCAGTAAAACGAATCGAATGGTACTAAAAACTTAAGTGCGTCAAAATACCTCCTGCGTCAGAATACCCGAACTCACCTTATGTTTCTTTATCGCTCCGGACTCACAACAGTTCCTATTTTCCTAGTTAATAGCAACAAATTATTATTTAATAACTACATATGTCACATAGGATAACATAGCAATAGGATATCTATATCCAAACCCTATTTGTAATACTGTAGCGGTAGCATTGTAATTTTAACGGTAAATTAATGAAATCAGGTGGCCAATACAAGGCTTAGGCACATGTCTAATTTTAGTAAGACGTAATGTCATGCCAAGAAATGGAGATAGTAGACAATAATTACATTTTTGATATGCTTAAATGTTCCCTTTTTGATGACATTTTACTACAAAAAATATTGTCACTTTATGAGTATGCCAAATGGTAATTGATGAAAAGGATCATATTAAATATCGAATACCATATTAAAGTAAAATTCCAAAACCCACTTCTTTTGATGCACCTATCGCTATTTAAACAGTTCATCACTCTTTATAACAAACCTTTTTATAATGAATCTACTCTACAATAAGGTTTTTTTAAAATATTTTTAGAGTTCGGTATAGAAACATAGCAAAATTACTTATATGAGAAACTTTTAAAAATTTTCGTTATAAAACTGCCAGTTTATTATAAGAAAGTTGACTGTATACTATTTATTTTTTCCGCTCGTTTTTTATTCATATTTCGACAAAAATAAGGGAGACCTTATGTGTAGAAATTCAGGAAACACGATAAACAAACGATTACCTACAAATCACTCACGTTATAGCGAAGTTCCAAAGTTGAGAAAAAATCATCACTACAACTTATGTCGAGAGAATATTAAATATACTTTAATAATTCTGTAGTTCACAATTCTTCATTATAACAAGAGCTCACTATAACAAGGGTGAGTTGTATTTAGGCATACTGGTTCTTTCCGTTATTTAACTTGTGATTGTATTTTTGAACTCTACAATTTTTTATAGCTTCGTTCAAATTATTTTTTACATTAATTTAGCTCATGAATGCAGTTCCTATAATGAGCTTATTGGGCATAATGAACTGTGAAATTTTAAGTTTGGAAAGTGTAGATTTTGTATACAGTATTTGATGATTTAATGTCATTTGTACAATTTAATTTATATTTTACTGCTCACTTTTAAATCTGTACGTGATTATTATTAGTAATTAAGCTTATCTTTTAGAATATGTTTAACTATTTCTGTATTTATTCTAGTCTAATCGTAGTGGTCCCGTCTCTTAGAAACAATTAAGAAAGCTTTCCCTTCCAAAAAAAAAAAAAAAAACTTAAAATTCAAAAAAAATAGGATAAAATAAAGGATTGATAAAAGCATCAAAAAGAAAGTTTGAAAAAAATTCTTCAAATTTTCCGGAGAATTGCAAAGTTGAAATATCATGTGGTTGCGCCCTCGATTGGTGGTAATCCTATTAAAAATTCTAGCTCTAAATCCTAAAACCCTAAAAAAACAAAAAAAAAAAAATTATATCCCAAAATTTACCATGACGCGTAAATTTCCAATTATTGCGGTTTGCAAAATCTGATCAGTAAAAAAAAAGTAATCACTAATTTCCGATTACTGATTTCCGATTTCTTCATTTTTTTTGACTTTTAGACTAGACAAACTTTGCGCATTTATCAATTTAATCCTATTTTTGCAAATATATTACAAAATGATAATGAGCAACTTTAATTTCTATAAAAAATAATAAAATTTTTGCAAAATAATAGAACGCAAATCTAAAAGTCAAAAGAAATCGGAAATCAGTAATCAGAAATTAGTGATTACTTTTTTTTTTTTAATGATCACATAATTTTGCAAACCGCAATAAACTAAATCGATTACAAGCAATATTTTTTATTTATCATCAATTATAATCGATAAAAATCTGTTCAAAATAATTAAAATCGATTAAAATCTAAGGATTTCTCTGATGTCATGTGCAAACTTAAGAACTTCATTAATTGTGAGCAATTTTTTAAAACCTGAACTGCCTATTATAAATGACAAATGCGTACGCATCCGTTTTACAATAGAGACCTTCGTTGTGCAATTATGGTATATAATAGCGTATAATTAAGAATAAGAATTCTTATAATGTCGCGGTTGAAATTCGGGCGGTTATTTTAATACTAAAATTCACTTGCAATCTTTTATTATAAACTCTAGGTCATAATATATATATATATATATACACTTACGTAAGAAAAGCAACAAAAAAAAAAATTTGCTCCCTAAAAATTTAATATTTCCAGCTTCAGCCGTCATAATAAATTATAGTTCTGAAAATAAGCAACAGTATTAAGTATCAAGAACATAACTTTTGCAATGTAGGCAATGTGTGCTACCACAATGTAGACGATGTGTGTTACCATTCTAAAATTTTTAATTGTTGACTGCACTAAAATTGAATATAGGCACGTTCATACATGTCGACTCTAGAAATTTCAAAAGACCCCATGGATACGAAACTTTATGGGGAGCGTATAATCCTAAATGTTGGCGGGATTAAGGTAACAAATTATGCCATTATTTTTCTACAAACTTCTGAAATTTAACAATGTTTGTTAATTGTCGAAGTATGAAACATATATTTCAACTTTAACGGCTTATCCGACTACGTTACTCGGAATCATGTTTCAAGAGCGGAACAAAGCATTACTCAAACCGACTGATGATAATGAATATTTTATTGATCGAGATGGTTATTTATTTCGTTATATATTGCAATTTTATCGTAAGGGCAAAATAATTTTGCCGGAATCAGGTACGTTAATAAAGCATTGAATTTTGCGAATAATTGAAAGAATACAATAAATGAAATTCAAAAGTGTAGATCCAGCTGTAACTCGTCGAGATTTAGAAGATGAATGTGATTATTTCCAGATCTCACAGAATGCACTTATAACTGCTCCAGTTGTATCATCACATCAAATATCTCCGATTCGTAAATTAGTTGCTGACAAACTTGACGATTTCGTCAAAACTCTTGAAACAATAGTGACTAATATTGCTATTACAATGTTGAAACATCATTTTAGAGGTTTTAGTTCTACTGTAACCATGACATTTGCTCAAGAAAGTTATATAGGTGGCATAACGTCAATAGTCGTCAAACCAAAAACTGATGCACTAACTAGATCAACATGGAAAGCAATGTCGCATCATGGTACAATGGGATATTTTATTTTGGATCAATTTGGAGAGAATATTGGAAATTATTTGTCTAATTTGATCCCCGAAGTTAGTTGGGAATTGAATCATAAGATTTATGGGGTTAGAGAAAGATTTTATGACTTTATTTTGATCATTGATTACGATTTTAACAGAGAAAGAACTCTAGCAGATTCTTGCTTAGCTAACAGAAATTCAATTAACCGCAATTCATCCAGATTATGTTGAATAGTACATATGGATGAGATCTAAAATAGGTGACTCTATTCTGAGTCAATTGATTATTAATCAATTTATTAATGGTGTCACCTATATTAGACTTCATCTGTACATATTTTCCTGAAATTTTAGTTTGTCTAATTTAGAATACTGTATTGAATATTTATTCTTTTCACGTTGGAAATTATTAAGCAAATGTAAAAATATTAATATATAAAATCTTTATAAGATGCGCGTTTTATAATATTTATTTAAGAGTTTGGTGCCAAATAATGCTTTTTTGTGAGATCAGAATTGGACATTCGCAGTTTGATTTAGATAAGAGTATATACGTTTATTCTGGTAAATATAATATTGATATACTTTAACTGAGTTAAATCACCATCGAAAAAAGTTTCAAGTATGATTTGTCATGTTCTATGTACCATTATTAATATGAGTTTAAGTTTCAAAGAAATCAAACTATATTTAACGTTAAAGTTTAAAATCTAATAAGATTCACGTTTTTTTTGATCTTTATAATTGCAATCAGAACACGTTATTTAAGAATTTCCAAATTGTTTTTTTCAATTCATTTAAATACAGCCAACTCCTGCAGTAGTCACCCGCATTTGTTACATTCTCGCTATACAGTATATTTATAATTTTATACAAACTTGTATAAATAAATAATTGTAAAACAACTATATTTTTTTCCCTTAAGCGATTCTGTTTTTATTAAATTATGTCTATTTTAACTACATGTTTAGCTCTAAACAACCTATTGGGCTCTAGTGTTTGTAGTAAAGATGATAATACCTAACTAATAAAAGACTTACACAGTTTTCTAACACTAAGTTTAGTATAATTTACTATATCAAAAATTTTCTTATCTGAGATTTTTAATTTATTAAAAATTTATTTTTTTAGATTTACTGGATGGTTTTGGGTATTATGCCAAGATTTCTGTTCTACAATGGGATATTTCTAATCTAATAATATTTTTTATAAAAAAGAAAAAAAGGAGTGAATATTTGGCTTACTTTACCAAAAATTGACATTGTTTACTATTTTTATATATATTGGGCAAGTGTAAAATATTATGATCAACTTCTGTGATACCATTTCACAGCTAGATTTTTTTTGAGAATTTTTATTTCAACTTAGGTTGATATTAATGTAGGTTGATATTAATAAAAGTCATGTATATAAGCCAATATATAGTAAAATTTTGTTAATAGATTAATTTACATAATCTTTTTACTTGGGATTTTTATACCAAGCTAAAGATAGTAAATACTTCTATTTCATTTTATTCTAATATCAATTACTAAATTAAAGTGAATTTAGTAACAGATGAAGTTTTGATTGGTCAATTGATATTGGAATAAATCATCCACCATCTTGTATCAAGCCTTTGTAACAAAAAAAATAATACTTAATTATATCAAATTTTGCTAATCATTATTTATAAATTGAATTTGATTAGTTAAGTTTTTTGTTTAATTTTTTAAATTTGTATTTTTTAAAGGTTAGATTTTCTTTAATAATAAAAGTTTGAAAAGGAATGTTCTTAGGGATGGGCAAATTGTTTTACATAACATTACATAATATTATATATTATTATCTAAATTTCTGTCGAATAGGTAATAATGCGAAATTATATTATTTATTAAATTTAACTACCGCTAACGCTATTTAAAATTTTATTTATTAAAATTACAATTGAATATTATCAAATTTTTCGCGTAGTAATAAATTGTCTAAAGCTAATTCATAATTATTACTTAGATTTTCGTAACTATTACTTGTAGCTTGAATAGACGATTGAACATTATATTCATCAATAGCCTCATTATAAAAAATTTGATCATTAGTATTGAAATTATCTATATTTTCAATTGTTTTCATAATATGTTCTTCCAAATTTTCAAATTGCTCTTCTGAATAAAACTCATCATTATTAATTTCATTAATTTCGAAATCATCTATTAAGATACTAGACGAAGTTGCTTCATTTTCATTAGAATCGCTACTATCAACTTGTTGAGAAATTTGTTCAAAATTATTAATTTCCTTTTTATTTTTAGTAAAACTATTTCTATCTTGAGCAATATGCCACCGAATGCATGTTAATTTAGTTGCACGTTCATTTGTTAATCTATTATGCTGTAATGAATGTATATTTGCTATTGATGACCAAAATCTTTCACTTTCTGCTGAAGTAGGTGGGATCGACATTACTCGTGCAGCAAAATTAGCTAATTCTGGTACTTCATTTTGGAAATTATTCCAAAAATATACAGGATTTTCAACTAAATAATCATCCTAATTACCATCGAAGTCAAATGGATATGCTTTATTATTCTAATCAATTAATTGCATTTGAAATTTTTTTATATCTTCATTAGGAAACAAACGCTCAAATAAAGTGCTAGCTTCTTTTTTAACAATAGTTGTAAGTTCTGGTCGAATTGCTCTTGCAAGAAAATATTTTGGATGAAGAGACCAACAAATAATAAAAAGTGAACTATACATTCGATTCCATCGATGCTGAATTCGTGTATTTACATAATCCTGAAAATCTTTGTCCTCAATTATATTGATAACAAATTGCAATCGACCCCATAAATATACAGTATCAGCAAGTGTAGCATGTTGAGATTCTAATATAATTGGAATCAATGAAAATGGTTCTAATATACGAATAATAATTCGTAATCGATCCCAAAATATATTATTTTTAATAATTAAAATAATAGATTCGTTATACCGTGATCCAATTTCATAAGCCATATCCTTAAAAAAATTAAAATAAATATAAATTTCATAATAAAAAATATATATCGAATTTACAAACCTTTAGATATTGTTCTTTATTTTGCACTTGTTGTAAAGATACAAAAAATGAATTCCATCTTGTAAAAGTTGGAAGTGAGAAACGAAATGTATTATTACAGGTACGTGCTCGAATATATTCAATTGCTTGAGTACTTTTTCGCATATATAAAATTATTTTAATTACAGAACTAATTGTAGTTTTCATATATGAATGTTTTAACATATCACCAACTAAAAGATTTGATTCATGCGCAGTACACGGTATGGCCAAAATTCTTGGATATTGCTAAATATAATTTAAAATTTTATATTGTAACTATAATTAGTATTTACTAAAAGCATTATTATTAAATAAAAAATATTCATACTTGTACAAGCATAATTTTTATACATATATAATTTGCAGCACCATCCGTAACAATAACATTGATTTTATTAATTCCAATTTGTAACAAAACATTTTCTAAATCTCTAAAAATAACTAATGATGTTTGACTTTCTCCATGAGTATCTTTAATTTTTATTAGTTCTGATCATCAATCTTTTCCAATAGCTATAAAATTTATAAGATAATCTTGACGAATATTCGTCCACCCATCTGTTGCAATAGTTATCCAATTCAATTTATATATAAATTGATTAATTGATGTTTGAATATTTGAATAAACATCATCAAGAATATTATTAGAAAGTTGTCTTCTTGCTGGAATGCGGTATGTATTATTTATAGAATAAACAAACTCTTTAAATTTTTGTGATTCTACGAAAGTAAGTGGTGCTCCCCCTTCAATTATACCTTCTAATAATAGTTGATTAGATTTTTTTATATCCAATGGTATAAATACTTGGTCATTATTATTAGGAACTGTAATAGCACCATAATTTGAAATTGACATAGAAGGTGTAATTAATGTTTCTGATAGAATATCTTGTTGATCTTGTATAACCGAATTATTGGAACTTTTTTGTTGTTTATCAATTCTTTTATTAAACACCTTGAATCCTTCTACTATAACCTTAACAATGTATACAACTCCTCATTTTATTTATTAATTAAAGAAGACTACAGCATTGCATATGTTTATCCTGGATCTGAACATAACTTTGCACGGCGTGGTTA